AAATTAATGAAAATATTTTTTTAAATGTTAATGAGTCAGATACGTGGGGTGCTTTGGTAGCGCAGTGATTAGTGCCCACGTCCCATATTTGGAGGCCTTTGTCCTTGACGTGGCCGACCCAGGTTCGAATCCAACCCGTGGTCCTTTACGGCATTTCCTCTCTCATACCCCCTTTCCTGTGAGCCTGCTGTCCATAAAAATTAGCTACTAGTGCAGTTAAAAAAAAAAGATTTATTGAGTAAAGTAATACACCGTACCGGTCCTTAGAAACAGGCAAAACAATGGCTGTATTTGTTGGCCGTATAAAGCCGGGCGTACACTGTACGACTTGTTGACCTTTTTGCCCGATTCTCCAGTATTACGTGAATTTTTCGACCGATCCGACTTTGAGCTTGATCGTGTGTCGTGCATCATATAGTGTACAGGGGGTGATGAGGGACGATCAGCCTCTCACATCCACCTCCAGATAAGGAATCGTAAGGTCAGGAGAAAATTAAACATGTTTGAAATTTAGTCGGCTTACGTGAGAAGTTCTGGGGCAAATTGCACAGTGCGCTGCACAAACAAGGATTCTTCTTCTTCCTCTCAGATGAAAGCACAAAAGCATGGCAGGGGTTCGAGTGAAATGGAGTTCTTTTCTGTAAAATTGACAGACTGTAATAGCCATGTTTGCTCTGCCATTTCTTTGTCCAAATACATCTTCGGCAACACGTTTCACTCTTGTGAGCTTCATATTTAAGGAGGCATCGACACGTCTTTTTCTTCTTCTACTCGTTTGGCTTCTGGATAGACGGGTCTGAGTAGCGCCATTTCACTGCGGAGCTGAGTCCGACGTGGTTTTTAGACATACAGTGTAAGCAGGTAGATCGCATCAGAGCGTCGGGCCGCACAGTGTGAGAACATGCTTTGTGAGCTGCTACAGTTTGAGGTGTAACTGCGTGCAGTGATTGAAAATATCGAACATTGTATGCCCAGCTTAATTAGGAGTCTTCCAATCCAAAGGCTTTGCACTATGACGTAATCAGCCGAAGAATCTGGCCTTCGGAAGACGCCGCCGCTGGATTGGAACTCAGCTATAGTTTCTGTTCTAGCATGCCTTTCTTCTTTTGTGAATCAAAGTGAGACTCCACTTAGGAATTAAAAGCGGTGCCTTCTAATGGATGGCGGTAACATTACAACACAAAGCGGATGTTATTAATCAGATGAAACAAATTTTATCTCATAAATCAATAAACAACAATAATCATGAGTCAATTTTTGTTTTAACATTCGTTCACATACTGAAATGATGCAGTTTTCACAGCTGAAAAACATTGAAAAATACAACTGAGGGTGTCGTCTCCATCTTCCAGATGGAGCATTAAATCAACAAACAAAACTGAAAAAAAGGAATGCACAACGCTGCACATTTATTTATCATTTAGGTCCTTTGCAATCTCACGACTCCTTACTTGCTTGTGCATAAAACACAAGTCCATCAAACCGGCAAAACACATGATAGCAATACAGAAACATTGAAACTGATGATAAATGTGAACGGACATGTTGTGCAAATGTTACAAACAGCGACATGGAAAGCAGAACCACCAGACCGCTCACAGTGTCATGCCTTTAAGCTGATAAGGTTATTTTTTTCTATGCATCTATTTTTATCTTTCTATTTCTGTTTCTATGATATTTCTATTAAAGCTTTTTCTCAGTAATATGCTATATGGATCCTGTATATTTCCTTTCATTTTTTTTTATCGTAGAATGTTTTTGATAAAAAGACATTTGACTAAATTTACTGTTAATATTTTCTGTAGAAAGAGCCACATGCATTGTGCATAAAACAAGACAAATTTGTTGATTCAGTGTAATGTGACAGAGATGCCCCTAAAGGCATCACCCCACCCCCTCACTCTCCTCCCGCTCGTCATCCTCTCATCGCCTGTACTGATGTGGTCACACACTGTCTCACACACACACACACACACTCAGCAGATGCTTCAGCACCATTTCCTCTCCGCTTCCCCGTGAGGACTGAACACATTTGAATTGTTGAACTTTCTCTTTTCTGTTAGGAGTGTTTTAATTCACGTTTGGGCTTCATCCTGTTTCTGCTGCATGCCATCTCCTCGTGGAAGTGTCCCGTTGTATGAGCCATGTCATTAATATTTATGCTTCACCTTTAAATTATGAGTGTGCCATCAACCTGAAGAGGCTTTCTGAAGCCAGACCAAGGCTGTTCGACTCGAACCTTTGGAGTGCGTTTGGCAAAGCTTGTGGTCTGCTGATTGTAATGGTGACAGGCAGCACAATACTGGAAAATATTAGACATGCTGTGGCGACACAGTAACACAGCCTTTGTGGCCATTTATGGCTATCCATGTCTAAGGATTTTTTTCCTTTATCATGAGCTGCGACAGACAATAAATCTGAATTCTTAACAACCATTCCACACCTTTGAACTGCTGCAGCGTCTATTGGGTAGAAATGTTTAATGTTAACTAAAACACTATGTTGTCATAAAAGTGTCAGCCCCCTGACAAGTCATAGAAGATGCTACTAGTGCTCAGTAAAAAAAGAAAATGAATATCTTTATGTAAGCGTGTTGGAAAGACTAAGAGTAAGCCACGTTTTTTCTCTTTAAACCACCTGGACTACAACTGAACCACAGATTAGAGATTGGAGATTAGAAAGCTTGCTCTTTGTCTAAAGATTCATTACAGTACACTCAACCTTCCAGATGAAGATTACTTGTTATGTAATGTAATTCCAGCTAGAAATCTAATCAACCTGATAGTTTATATAGTGTGCCCTGAAATGAGTCTTTATTCCCCTGAAACTTTTCATATTTTGTCACATTAAAAAGACAAAAGAGGATCATTACGAATGGGAGGGAAGCAACAGGATTTTGGTTTATAGTCAGAGCCCTTTACTCTGATGCCTTTTAATAAACCACAAGGGAAATTGGACCGTGATTTGTAGAAAGAGGTTAAAATGGTCAGTTTAATGAGGGCGAACAGCATCAGAAGGATCATGGATCGCTGCCGACAGGTCAGAGAGTTTGTTCTGAAGACGTTATAAAACAAGGTTTGGTTATATTTCAGATTTTTAATCATCTAATAAACCTTTTTTCATTCCATGTCTGAAAAGTACTACAATCGTATGACTTTTGTATGACCTCATAGGAGAGAACTGCAAACTTCTCAGGATTTGGTCTCCACCTTTGGAGCTTTAAGGCTTTTGTTGAATTCTCTAGAACCTGCAAAAAAACAAAACAACTCAACAGCTTTTTAGGGATAACATTGTAGAGGAACTCCACAAAGTTAAAGTGAAGCTTAAGGTTAGATTTTCACCCATACAGTTTCTTGTAAAGCCAGTGCCAGTACAGATTACTATTTCATTCTGTTATACCTATATCATATTTTATTTTGGTCTTTTTGCAAACCAAGCCCTCTTGTTTTACTGTTACATGTTGGAGGCAATGGGCCTCATGCAACAGCATTTTTGTTCTTAACATAAGCAAATTATTTGTAAATAATCCTCTCAAATGTGATGCACTTCACCTGTGCATAAGTGAGCACGTGTTCACATATAAATCTGCATATTTCAGCCCTGATTATCCCATATAGGGCTACAAATTCCCACCCTTCTGTGAACGAACTTTCAGTTATGTACATTTTGAACTGGTGTCTCAAAAAAAGGTATTTATTGTTATGTAATGAAACTAGATTCTTGATTCTTCTACTTTACTATCATGTATCATGGCAATAGGCTAATTAAAATCCCCATGAGTTTTATTGAGAAAATCTTAAACAACCATGAGCATCCTGAGCTTTTTGCAGGGCAGTGCAAAGCCAAAATAATGTACGCAGGTTAAGGTCTGTCTGGGGATTTAAAATTCATCCTGACAAAGATTGTCACTCTTCAGTTTCACGGAAAACATAGAGCTTCACTCATACTATTTTTCTGTCTTTAAGTTATTTGGGACAAGTATTAAATGAGTTTACCATAAAATGTGTATTTCTACTTAAAAGATGTCAATTATTGGCCAGGCAATGTATTAAAGTCTGAGATCCACGTGTTTTTCATAAGATTTGTAGCCTAATTTCTGGCTGTACATATAGAACTTTCAGATGAACTGAATGCCTTATCATTATTTATTACTTTACCATCTACCTGTGAGGCTGTAAATGTGTCCACTAGAGTTAACGGCTCTGTATATTAAGGGACTGAAATAGCTCTGTTCCCTTGTATTCAGGCCTCCTCTTTTGTTCGAAACTCGGTGTCCTGGTTGGTCTGTAAAATATCCAGTAGGTTAAACAGATAGTAAATTTTTTTAACACACTGCTGGATCACTGGGTAAATTACTAAATATGGTCTCTTACTGTACAGATTGTAAAGCTTAAACATAGTAAGGCTGAATCAGTCATTAAACTTTAAATGACACGCTTTCTGTTGACTGTTCTGAAATCATGCATGACCTTAATAGTTTTAAACGTTTTTCTTTAGATATCACAGCAAAAGGGGCCTAATTTATCTCACCCTTCCTAATACAAAATAAAACTAAATTAACGATGATTATGCGAGGAAAGGCTTATCGAGTTAAGATATGACCAATATCACAATTTTCCTCTCGAATATTTAAATTGCTGACTGGGTGTTCATTTGATCTAAACAGGAGGAGGGGAAAAGACCATATTGACCCATTACTGTGAGAGTGAGAAAAAGGGTCATGCACATGTGTGGTGCAGTCTTAAAAAAAGATGTTACAACAGGTTTGACTTTACAACAGAAACCAAAAATAAACCATGATTTCCTTTAGTGCTGCTACTAACAATCAGGATGTTAAACATTTTTGTTCGGAGAGGCACCATGAAAATATCCCTCCATCCATTTTCTGATCCATTTCCAAGTGGGGTCACGAGGGGTGCTGGTGCCTATCTCCAGCTATCAACGGGAGAGAGGCGGGGTACACCCTGGACAGGTCGCCAGTCCATCGCAGGGCAAAATAGAGACAAACAACCATTTACACACACACTCAAGCCTAAGAAGAATTTAGAGAAGCCAATTAACCCAACAGTCATGTTTTTGGACTGTGGGAAGAAGCCGGACAACTCAGCAAGAACCAACGCATGCTCAGGGAGAACATGCAAACTCTAAGCAGAAAAACCTTGGGCCGGGAATCGAACCCAGAACCTTTTTGCTGCAAGGTAGCAGTGCTACCCACTGCACTACTGAGCAGCCCCAATGAAAATGTAACAGATAAATGAGCTGTTAGTAGTAGTGTATTGGCCATTTCTGATATTATCTCCTGAAGATTTGTCATCAAATGTTGGATCAAAGCCATCGTTTGTGGAGTGCTGATTTAAATTTGATAGGTTGTGGAGCTTTATTCACTAGAGACTTTCTCGCTGAAGAGTGTGAATTTTAGCAGGTAGCGGTGGACAAACCCTCCCTGGTTTCCCTTTATCTTGCACAGTTAACCAGGTGTTTGTGGTGCGTTTGCAGTTCTAAAAGACCTACAGCTGTAACTGAACTGAAACGTGTTTCCTCAGAGTAGGGATGCACTTACTATTGGCATCTTCACTATGAAGTTGGCTTTTTTGTTTCAGGAGGGGAAGGGCAGGTTATCGGTCTAGTAGTTTTTTGTTTGGTCACGTACTGTATGACCAAACAGTGATTGGGATGCAGATCAGGATTGTGGGTTTTAAACTGAAATGGTGAAGCAATGTCAGTACTGTGGTCTGTCTTTCATGATATCCTAAGGGGAGGGAAAATATATGATTTGGTAAATCTCGGTTATAGGCATAACGGTAATCGATATCAGCCCATATTTCCAGTTAGTGCATCCCTACTTCAGAGTATTAACAACAAAGTGCTTTTCATATTTTAATACAAAAAAAAATATTAAAATCGTCGATTATTTTTAAATTCGATCGATGTAACAAATGAGTTTAAAAAAAATCAACTAGTCTAACTACGAGTTAATTTTTAATTTGTTTTTTACTCCGTTTTTTTGTGGTTTTGTTTTGCTTTATGTGTCTTTTATGAACTTTTATGTTTGGCTTATTTAAATTTTGCAGCTTCCTGTTTGTTAATGATTCTCAGGAAAATTAAACAAAATCAAGTAATAATAATAACCTTTAAACTGTACTTAACCGTGATATTTTGGTTAAAGAAAAAAACTGTGAAATGAAATGATTGATCGAAAAAAGGTAATCTTACTAAATTCACATTTCTGAATAAATAAACATTTGGAATACAGGAAAAAAAAAAACCTTAAAAGTATAGTGGAGGATTTTTGCAAATCTTTGAAAAGACCGGCCATCTCCACTGTACCCGCATCTGAGAGGGAACGCCTGCTAAAGAGCATGTGAGAGCATGCATGAGCCCATTTCTCCTTGAGAAAGCTCTGATTAAAATATGCTGTTTGCATCGCTCATACAAGCTTACTTTCCCAAAAAAAATGAGCAATTTTTCCACTATGTCAGACTCACCACCGGTAAGTGAAAATGGGGACAAGCACATATGTTGGCCTTACGTAAACTTATCACCAGAATGATTGACAGTTACCTTTAATTGTGCTTTGTAAATAAGTTGCAAATGGCAAAACATGCAAAAAAAAGTACATATATGTGTATTCATTTATATAAAAAAAAAGTTTAATCTTTAATGGATAATATGTTATGTTCAAAAAACGTTTATGGTTTATATTAGTAGAGTTCTGTCTTAAGTGGGTTATCCTTTCAGTAAAGGGCATGTTTTAGAGTTTCTAGGTCATGATGCGATTTCGATTACCAGATTAGTTGACAATAATTTAACAGGTTGTAAATTCTAACTGGAATGTTCCAGAGAGTTGGAATTACAAGTTAGAAAGTCAATGCAACAGTTTGGTACCTGACTTCATGATACAAGATGGATGCTTGAACCAACAGTGGATATTTAGTCCTGATTTAACATTGCTGGGCAGTTCATTATGATTTATCCAGCATGCATTCAGTCATTCAGGGGCTAATTCTAAGAGTTTAGAGGACGACAGGATTCAGTGTGTGTATTTGCAAAGAATACTGCATAGAACAGTGTTCAAGTGATTGTTATGACTGTAACAATGGCTGTATGGCCATGGACAACTCAAGGGTCTTCAACTGGAAAGCTAAAACACATTTACTGTATCTCAGAGATTATGTCACCCCAACTCAGGCTTAGGGTGGCATAATTTTCGGCCCTGGCATTTTTCCATCTACACCGGCCCACTGATGAATAAAAGGTGTAACCAATGGTTAACCTCAACATGTCTAAAAGTTTGGTGCAAAGATCTGCAGAGCTGCAGCATTACCGAGCAAAGAGAAGAGCTTAAAAAAAAAAAAAACTATACTGAAACACAAATGTCGCTTAAAGTGATGTCTACAGGCTCAGGTTTCAAATGTAACCATCCCTACCAGCATTATACATCTCCCAGCTTTAGAGATTTACTACAGTGGAATCTAGCCTGTCCTTATGCAGGCAGTAAACCTGTTAAAGAAAGTCAGGTCCGTGCACACTGACAACATCTAACACCACTTCCATTTAAAGGGGGCGAACTACTGTTTAGGTTCAAGTTAACTGTATTATCCCAAGGGGAGAGTGGACCTAGAATAGACCCGGGTAATCGCAGCAGGGATAAAGGACTTTTTTTGGTCTTTCTTTGTTTGTTGTATCTTTGCTCCACTGGTTAAAGAAGGAATTTTAGCCACAGAATATAACTGGAATAAAAGGACATCCAAATCAGTAAAAAATACGACCGGCAATTTGCAAACCTTGCAAATACTATGTAGACTTATTTTGATAGAAAGTGATCTGAAATAAAACACATGTAAGAAAAGAGTCAATCAAACAAAAACAAACATCTTCATAAAAACACAACTGAAATTCAAAATACAAAGCTTACTTGAACCCTGATATGGTTTCTGAACCAGTCTACTTACGAATCAAAACTTGATATGATTGCAGTCATTAGTGTGTAGCACAAATAAAAGAGGGGAGAAGATACAGCCCTGGGGAGAGCCAGTAGAAAGAAAGAGTAGTTCAGATAAATACTAATGCATGGTATCGATACTTAATAGTAGTGTATTTTTAATGTGTTATTTTCACATTAAAAGAATATTACTTCAAACAACATTACGATATTGTCAAATTATATTTATACACTTACTGAAAAAGATAAATCTGTTGAGATTAAAAAAGGCGAGTTTTTTTAATGTTAAACATTTTTTATGCCTTTATTTATTTGGCATTTCATTGATCTTCCCTTTGGGATTAATCAAGTATTATTAAATTGTCCTTAGGTGTGAGTGTTTAAATGAATGGTTGCTTGTCTTGTTTGTCTCTGTTGCGCTGGGATAGACTGGGCGAGAGGCAGGGTACACCCCTCCATGATTTCTAAGTAGAGTGTTCAAATACTTTTTTTCCCTCACTGTATTTATTTGGCATTTTTTAATTGATATTCCCTTTTGGATTAATAAAGTATTATTGAATTGAACTGAATGGTATTGACAATGGTATCGACCATCAAATAATAATTTGGGATTCGAGCTGTGTTTGACGTTTTCATGACAACCCTGCACAACCCACCCCTGTTCCACAGACCCCCTAAGAGGTTTAGCCTCACAGGAAGTGACGTATTTTGCTGTGTTATCCAGACAGGGCTCCACTTTCTCGCTGGTTACCTCAATAGACAGAGGCTCAAACCTCAACAGGGATATCTGACATTTAATGCATTTTAAGGGCTACATTTATGGAGTTTGACAATGCATATTTAAACAATGATTTTATGATAATTAGCGTGGAGATTTTGCCTCCCTAATATTCATTGAGAAAACGCTACTGGCTCTGCATAATATTAATATATACATAGATTAATACATAATTAAATAGGTTCAGTTTTTATTTATATCTAATTATACATGAGACTTCTAGATGATTGTTTGTCATCTTTAATGTTACTATGTAGATATTAAAAAATACTTACTGTGTCTTTGTAGCATGCTTTTAATAAACTAACACTTAAAATTCATGAGAACTTTCCACCTGAGAATATATCGGCACCCACCGTCTGTTTCAGAGGAGAACTTTTTGTTCCAAAGCGGTGAATTATGTCCCCTCTGGAACCACAAATCACTTTGCAGGGTTGACCAATGAGTGGCTGAAGGGTGACCCTGGCCATCCTTTTAGCTACACCGCCAGTTTATCCTGCACCATGTCCAACAACATCTCTTTTAATGACTTCTCAAAAAACGAGATGTCACTGGTTGGAGATCAAAATCATTTGCTTAAAAACACTCAATTTTTAGATGTGTCTTTACATGGATTAGGGACCTTCTGCAAAAACAATCTGTAGGTGTAGAAGCATAGTTTAAGTCCATGTTAGATGAGATACTCATTAGCAGGAGAATTTAACAGATTTTGACATTTGTATGTAGAAACCTGCCTTCTGCAACAGTCTGCAGATCCTTTTTTTGAACAGCATACAAAAAAAAATCCTTTCCATTTAAGCAGCTCCAGCTTATTGTTTTTTATTAGGGCTGTAAAGAGTAAATTTAATATAATAGTTTAGGTTCAGCATGGGCTCCAGCAAAGCAGATTTATAGGGTTTCTGGCTTATTTTACTGCATCACACTAAAAAATATATTCAGTAGTGTTTTATTAATGTGGGGAAATAAAAGCAGGAGTTATTTGCACTCTGCACTGTTATATTACGATGTTCTGTGATGTTGCTTTTTCCACACCTACAGTCTTTATTCAGCTTTTGAAAACAAGATCAGGGTTATTTCCATACAAACTCTACAAGCCTGATTTTATCTCCGGTTGTTCAGGGACCTCTCTCCTATATTTACATTCTGGAGCCTGATCTCTCTCCACACCAACAATCACTGTAAAGGGTTGAACTTAAAAGTCAAAGGTGAAGGTCAAAGAGAAGAATGTATATGATTTTTTTTTTTACTTGTTTTTAGAATAGAATACAATAGAATAGAAAATCCCTTTGGAAAATTGTGGAGTTACATCAGCATCAGAAAGTGAATAAAAATAACAGAATAAGTGAAAGAGTTAAGAAAATAAATAAGTACTGTACTGTACAGTGCTTTTACAATATATAAATGCTCTGTCTCTGGAGAGTAAATAATCAATAAACAGCTGTGGACATTTTTAGAATAATGGATATGTGAAAAAAAACAGCAACACCAGAGATGTCCAAAATGTTATTTAACAAACCAAGAAAGAAACTGCAAAGATAAGATCTTGATACAATACAATCAAGTTTGTGCTTCAGAGGTACAAAATCAAGATAATTTATTTATAGTAGGTTCTCTCTATTGTTCTATTGCTGATTTTTATTTGCTAATAAGGAGAAAGAAAGCTAGGCATTGGTGGTTAAGTCATTTACATCACAAGATGAAAACCACCGTAGTTAAACTGATCCCTGAGGCAAAAACTCTGTTTAGCCTCACTGGCACAATCAAACTACCAGCCTTGGTTATGAAAGGAAATGTAATAAGAAAAACTCATCAAGATATTTCCCTTGAAGCCTTTGCTTTGCTTTAATGATGCCTGAATCTAATAATCTTTTAGCATAAAGGAAAATCTGACTGAACATTCCCAGTGGGACATCTTTAAATAGCTTTCTCGCTAAGCCAGTTACTCGGAAAGCCGACGGTTTACTGTATTTGGAGCCAGAACATTTGTTTTTTACAAACATATGGAATAAGTCATCCACTGTCGCTCCCAAAGAGTCCGTTCATCTCCTCAGTGAGTTCAGATGGTTGGAAAAATGAGCAAACTAAATAAACATGACACTCTCTGCTTGCCTTCATCAGTTTTATCAGATAAGATGCTTTTCTAGGTGACTTTTCCCAGTTAATAGTGTGAAAATTCTGCTGAGCCTTCTGCGGCAAAAACCTATTTGAATTTCATACGAGTTGAGCTCCTCTTGATGCCTCAACATGAAAGCCCTCAGGTCTCATCTCGGCTGCAACCACTGGCCTGGTGAAATGGGCTCATTGAGCTGCGAGGTACAAAGAGACACTACAGTGCCTGGCAATCCCAAAATGCATCAGCCTCAGACACATAGAAAAGCTGCAACATATTAATACAGCCCTGTGTGGTTGAGAGGATGATAAATATCGCTCTATCATGATGACCCTGGTTTGAAGGATCTCTCTGGATGGTGAATCAGGATTTCTGTGAGCTTTATAACACAATTAGGATAGTGAGGTAGGTCTAAATGAGGGGTAGTTTCTTAGATTTCATGTCCCAAAAGCTTTTAGTAACTAAAATACACATGGAAATAAACTACTGATGTGAACTAAAGTTGTTTCTGTTCATGTTATTGTTTAAATGTGGTTACTGATGCCCCTTATGTCCACAAACACTCATCTGAATATCTACTTGTATTATTTAAATGATTTAAACTGTTTTTTAATGGCATCTATAAATGTGCTGTTAAAAGCAATATCTCCAAGCTAAAAAATGCATATGTATTTGCTCTAAAATGACCCCTGCTGTTCTTTCACAGAGTCCTCTGGGCTTCAGCCAGGCGTGAACGGTGAGCTGCTGCGATGGACACGCAGGTTGATGCAGGAGAAGTTAGACAACCAGAGCTTGGATGAGCCCCGAGCAGGTGAGTCACTCTTCTTCACCCGGCTAGATGTCAGAAACCAGCAGACCGAATCCTGCATCGTCTCACCGCGCTGTCAGTGGAGACACGGCCATTTGTTAAATCTTTTCTTAATCAGATAAAGACCAAAAAACGGGGGTTTATGCTTTTAAAGGTCAAAAGACTTAAATGATTAAGCAAATATGTGGAGCTCATTAAAAAAAATAAGATGTTCTCCTAAAACCAAATTAGTCTTTCAGCAACAGGCAGAGTTACCTAACTCACGATCACAACTGTTTGGGTCAGTACTGAACCAATGCTTGTTTATTAATTCAATGGCACTGTACAGTAGGGTCATTTTCCACAGTTTATTTGATTCTATTTATATTTTACAAATCAAAACGACAAACATTTGTCAGAAAAACTATAGAATTTAGAGGAGATCTACAGTTAAATGAAAAAGGTAAAACATCCAATTAAACAATTGGTCCATGTATTGATGTCTGATCTTGTTTTTATTAGCCTATTAAAAAAACAACAGGAATTAGTTGCAGCGAATCAAGATAATGATTTAATTAACAAGCAAAATGTAGTATAAAATCATTTTTTCTATCTGAGGAAAATGCTAGGATATCCTTCCTCTTTGTAGTAAATTTGAACTCCTCTAGACGTTTATCGTTGCCATTATAAAGTCTGAATTTTGTCCCAAAGTGCAATCAGGTGATAAATACTCATATGAGCAGTTTTATTTAAAACACACGCACAATAACTACTCTCCACGCACATTTGAAACCTTTTATGGTCCAGTTTCATTTACTTGAGTTATTGAAATGTCACAAACATTATTACATGCTCCTTCTCTGCTCTCATGGTTTGCTTTTTATTAATGTTGCACGGATGCCATTTTTTGGCCCTGATACCAACAATACTCGATACCTGGCTGTGCAGTATCGGCCAATACCGATACCATCTGTTTGAAATTGATGTGTATGTATATTTATATGAAGAACTGCAAATTACTTGGATGTAAAATAATTTCATCATGGCTTTGTCAGGCTGCTGCCTACCTTTGTGAAGCAGGAAAATCCAGTAGAAGTTTTTATTGCCTACCTGGAATGGGTGACAGTGGTTGAATAAACTTGGAGGTGAAGGCGAATATATAGTCAATACTGCTGTACAGCCTCAACTGCTTAGGAAAGATTTTGAAGAATATATTCTGTTCTCAAATCTAAACATGTCACACAAGCAGGAATCTATAAATGCCATCAGTTGCGACTGGAGCAAGTATAGAAAGCTAAAAGTGCCAAAAAGTGGCAAAATGTATATTTCTAAATCTAAAAATATCAATGTTACCCACAATTGATGTATTCAATAAACATATTTATATTTTATCCAAAATAAATAGGTAATTATATAGTTCTTATTTAATTAATCACCTATTAAATACTCAAAGCTGTCAGCTCACCTGATTGCATTAAAAGCCTGTTTAAATTCCTCACACAGCATCTCAGTGACATAAAGACCTGTGTTTGTCTCAGCCCAGGGTTTTCCAGGATTTCTTTACACACAGAAAGTATTCTATTCTATTCTGTTCTATTCTATTCTATTCAAAGTTGGTATGAGGTTAATTTCTTGGAATATTCAATGTGGTTTATGGCAAGCTCAGATAATATAGTTTTAGACTCCTCTGTCTGAAGATCGTAATTGGACCTTGGATCTACTTTTTGAACATGGCCTTGTGTCATTTTTCATCTAAAGAGGTACCTTTAGTTCTTCACATCACCTTTTTTTTAGTTCTTTCTATCTATGTTGTCATGGTTACCAATGAGAAACACAAAAAAGAGAAGAATCTCACCGAAGCAGAATTTGATGTGTTGGTGAGTGAGGTGCAGAGTCCGAGGTAGCCACAATAATGGTCTGACAAATTAAAGTAAGCGGTGCTCTCAGGTTTATTGGACTGCAGGCATTAGTGGAGTAGCTTAGCACTGTCTGCAAAAAATCTACCTAATCAACCTAATTTTGTAGAATTAATTTGCTTTAGGCAAAGAGTTAGCTAATGTTTGATTATGTTTAACACCTGTGGACTAATTTGTGCTGGTGAGAGGTAGTTGCTAGGAGATCCAGAGTGCTTAACAGCTGTAATTGGACAGGGAGGGTATGGTTCCGGCAGGTTGGTCTCTTCGGTACTAGACATCCTTCAGCACATAGATCCATGAGCTTTGCTCTGCTGTTTTTAAATTGGCTTGAAATCAGTGTGGGACAGAAAATCTTTGTGATCCCTAATAGCCTGTTCTTTCCTAATTTTCTTACTTGCTGAGGAAGAGGATTCAGGTCAACAGATTTAAAACCCTGAACAGAGATTTTTTTCCAGCCATCTTTATTTCCATTTCCACAGCATAGACTGGGACTGATAACCTGCTGAAGTTAACAGCATGAGGATGAACTAGGCGGGGTTTCTACTCTCCTGTATTGTCCAACTCTACCCATATGCAAGATCTTCTATTAGTGCCTATGCATCCATGGAACAGTAATATGCACTAGTGGCACAATAATAATTATAGTTTTACCCCAATTGGTGTAATTTTCTCACACTTTGTCACAATATTTGAGTTAAATCTGTTGTACATGAATAAGGAGGAATGAGGAATGTGAAGGTAAGAAAATGCATGAATATTTAACAGACTTTGAAAATGAAAGGTCTAAAAAGGATCAGGATGCAATACAGCATCCATTCTCCTCCTCACTGGGTCGCTAATTTTCCCAGTCTCTATAACAAGCATATCCTTGGGTCAAGTTTTGCTGGAGGACTGCACATTTTCTTATTTATTTAGATTTTAAAGGTCATGGTCTATGCGTAGAAAGTGACACGCACTAGCTTATGCGTTGTTTCATGCTTATGCCTCTTTTATAAATGAAACTGCTGGTCTTTCGCGATATTCTTAGTGTCAAAATTTTGTTTGGCCTTCGTGTTTTTTTATGTGCAAAAAAATCCTACTATACACCTCTAGTTACGACTGAGCAAGGGCAGACTTTTCTGAGGATAAGGTTATTCACTAGACTTTAGCAAATAAAGTTTTAGGTTTTTGGGAAATTTATTTTTGCTTTCTTTGACAGCTAAACCTTAGTGTGTTGGTAATTAGCTGACTTCAAATTTATTTGAGGCCACTTTAGAGATAGCTATAAGTTAGAAAATATAAGTCCTCCTGGCCAGTAGGTGGCATACTTGCCAATTACTGTTCCTACATTTATTTCTACATTTTGCTAGCCTGTTGCCAGATACATGGGACGTTTTCAATACAAGTGTACTTGTGCATTCTCATGTGCTTGTGTACTTGTGAAACATCATCAGCCTCAGCCCTAGTACTGTTCCAATTCACAAGAACACAAGTCTGAGAACAGACAAACTCCCAGGATGTTGTTCTTGCTCCTCCCTCTTTACCGAGCATGAATCAGTGCAGACTTGTCTGTTCTTGAGATTGACAGCTGCCCCAGCATCCACCGCAGCAGCAGCTTCCAGGGGAGCGCTCAGAGCTCAGAGTACTAAGTTAAAAGTTCTTTTTTCTGTTGCTGTTGTTCTATAAAAGTATGTTTTAAGATCATTTGAGGTGAGAAAATTTAACTTCTAAGGGTCACAATATGGCCAATTTACTGATTTAATTTGTGATTTTACAAAAAGTTTCCGATGTTGAGAAGACCGCGGCAACCAGCGGACCTCCGAGGGTAACGGCAGCCAGGTCTAATCCTAGCCTGTTTGCAGCAGCCCTCTCTCAGCATAGCCGTGTGTGAGGTACCAATGACTCTGATGGTGATTTTTTTGTTTTTATTTGGAAAAATGTTCATTTGATTTGTATTTATCTGACGCTTCTGTTCCAATTGACCCATATTTATGCTGCTTGCTCCCGTCCTCCCTGGGTCCATGCTTTCCTGTGTTTTTCTCAAGAACATACTTGGTGAGGACACAAGTCCGTCCTCACATTCTTGTGAATTGTGAAGCGGCCATGAAATACAGATGGATTAGCTGTGTTTACAGAAAGCTATAAACACAACTGAATTCATTTAAAACTAACTCACTAGCAGGAGAACCTGACAAACATGCAGCAACACACCTGTTACCGGCTGACCTTTGGTTAGCATTAGCAAACATTTAAACTATCTGTCTAGTGACAACCTCCATGTAAAAAGCTGAGTTTTGATGAAAAATTTTAGCTTTGACCTTTAAATCACCCACTAGCTGCTACAGTCTTCTTCCTGTAGGCTTTAATCAATCTCCTAACAGTTAAAAGCACACCAAACTAAATGTAAATGGTTTAAGAAGGGCAGACCTCCTCAAAATATTGAGTTATTAAATTTTAATCTTGTGCAACTGATGTAAATATACCTGTTAGTGCTTTTAATTATTTTAAGAAATACATGTGCTGGTGTCCTTTTTTTTAATGGATTTTTTAAACTCCTATTTTACTTAAATCTTACAGCTTTGGTTAAAATGTATATTGTTTCAAGACTTCACAAAATAAAGGTTAAAGCTGACTGCAAGAAAATGAATTATTTTATAATCTATATTTTATTTTATTTTAAGAATACAAGTATTTAATAATAATATTTTACTTATATTAACAGTTGAACCTCTTAATCCAGCGATGCAAAGACAAAAGCGTTTGTTTGAAAGTTTTGTCCTTAAGAGGCGCACAGACGGAAAGAAGCGAACATTTCAAGACTGATATTTGTCAAACAGTCAAGAGAGACTTTTTGATTGTACATTTTTCAAGGAGAGGTTTTTTTTTTATTCTTTCATATTTGCATATATTTTTACCTATTGAAATATGTTTTTATTAATGCTAATTAAATGTAAATTAAAACACATCTAAAGAGTTTAAGTATTATTACAACTCCTTTAAAGTATTTGTATGTTATAATTTGAATGCCAGTAACACACACATGCAGCCATATAGAATAGAAATATCCTTTATTACAAAAAGGAAACTCAGATGTGCCAGGAGAAAAGTGGACAATTTAAAAAGCATATA